TTTTTTTTTTGAAGAAAATTAAACAAATTCACTTCAAGAAATTTATGTGAAGTAAATAATTTTGATTTTGTATAAATATTCAGTTATCAGAATATTCATCCAACATTGTTTAAAACCTGCAATTTAAAATTCCAAGAGTAAGGAAATAGTTACATGTATTATGACACATAGATATTAATACGATGGATATTATTTCAACTGTTAAAAATGGTGGGAACGTATCAAAAAGATAAGGCACAATCCTGAAGGGATACCTACTGATTACATTGGGGAAAATTTGAGCATCAAAATAATGGTAGTAATGGATTATAATCTGCTGAGTAAGATAGAAACCCATGAGTCTATACTGATAACAAACAAATAAAATAAGGAGGAAAGGAGAGCCTCTTCCTCATAGTAGAAAACTAGATGACAATTGTGGATGAGAGTGGTGGAGTTGGAAAATCATCATTTTCTACAGTTTAGTAAAGATTGACTCAGGCAAGAATCATTTCTATAGCTAGAAAGTAAAGTGTGATAAAGAGGGTATTTGCATGGTTTCAAAGTGTCTCCACACATATTACTTATTAAATGCAAGTGTCAAAATAAGAATAATACAGTAGGGCAAAAACAGACATTATTTTGATTGTGTGATCAAACTAAAGTCACTAATTAAGGACAGACAAACATTGTGATGTTTGTAATGAACTGAATCTGATCACAAGGAAAGCCAAACTGAGCAACAGCTTTATCTATTTAAAAACTGGCTTGTATTCTTCAAAAATGCCAATATCATAGAAGACAAAGCAGGGTTGAGGAACTGTTCCAGATTACAGAAGACTGAAGAGATGTGTTAGCTAAGTGCAAATGTGATTCTGGACTGGATCCTGTGCTAGAGGGAAAAAAACTTCTATAAAAGAAATTATTGGGATAATTGACAAAAATGAAATATGTGTTGTAAATTATATGAAAATATCGAATAATATTAAATTTCCTGAATTTGAAAACTATATCATAGTAACATAAGAGAATATCCTCATTATAAGGATGTGCACTGAAGTATTAAAGAGGAAAGGAGAATAACATAAACCTACTCTCCAATGATCCAGAAAAAATAAATACACACACATACACACATTTGACATGGTTCATAACTCCCACCTCTTAAATACTTTCTTTACCAGGCTTTTGGGACATCTCTTGGTTCTCTTTCAACCACACTGGGTACTGCTCAACCTCTAAAGTTTGGAGTACCTCAGTGGTAATTATAAGTACTTGATCTTCTCTTCCTAATGTCACCGTACACATCTGGTGATCATAGCAAAATTTCAGCAGACTTCTTCCCATTCCTCTATTTCCTAGAGGAAAATTCATTTTATTTAAATATTTTTATTCTTTTATCACATCCCTTACTTCTCCCTACTGAGATGCAGTAAGTTATTTTTGGTGGGCAATGGTCACTGATCC